TCTAAAAAGCTTGGTTTTCCACAGCTTGTTTCCGAATAAATAATCACTATATATAAGTAAAACAAAAAGTGTATTCTACATAATTGAATCATTTATCATAGTCCATTTTATTGACTTATATTTCAATCTCAAACAGTTTTAAACAAAAATATTAACATTAAATTGAATAAACTGCCAGTGAATTTAGACTGTGTGAAATGAAAATGACTTAATCTTTTGAAATAATGTTTTGTGGTAAAGATTTGATAAATAGTTTACCGACATACGGCTATTCAGTAGTATTTCACACAATGTAACTAAGTAATATAACGCTAATCATGTTCAGTTGACTGAAGAATTTCACAATCTTCAAAGTATCACTTTAAAATCAAATAAAAAGGAGCTTGTGAATTCCCCGTGAATTCTATGACTTTTATTTCAATATAGTCTACATTTGGGCAATTTTTTTCAATTTGCCCATAAATGTTCTTGATGAAATACTGTTTCAACATCGAAAACAACTGTTACGGTAACACTGGGTAGTGATTTTAAGCTAGGATGATCAATTTTGTGAATTAGACGGCACACATTTCAAAGCCACCAGGACTGGTCAGTGGTTAACTTTTCACTACCAGGCAGAACTTTTGCTCATAAAATACTGAGGTCACAAACTACATATTCATGGATCTCATAAATAAGGACAGAAAACAAAGAGTTCCAGTGTGGCTCCAGAAACACATTTCCGACCACTTCCAATGTTTTTACTTACCATTCATACCATCCAGTGATATGATTTGCCACCGCCTTTGAAATGCAAGCGATAGCTTTAAAAAATATGTAAATTCATTGTACAAATGCTGTTGTGGAGCTCCTTACTAATACCCGTCTACGGAAATAAAAAGATATTTTGAGGTATTAATTGGAATAACTTGTGATAAATCAGAAGCACTTCGTAGTTCCTGGAACTGAAGTGGATGAAAGTGTTTTCCGGTAGCATTTAAATTTCTTCTGGATATTGATTTTCAACTCTTTGACTAGCCTCTCATCTTCGTTCCCTTTCATGACTTATCACAAATAGGTAACTAATACAATGACATTTTTCAGTCTCTTGGTTTCAGATGAAGTAATAAAATTAAGAAAAGGAAGTGAAAACATCCTACAGTCTCCCATTATCACAGTGATGTCACTACAGGTGTACTTAGCTATGGCGAACAGGAAGCCACCCAATACAAAGAAGCACTTAGCATCTGTTTGGCTTTAGACTCCTGAGCAGCGTGCCCCTAACATTTTTAGGTGACCAACCTAGAAATATCAAGTACCTCAGCTGGTGCATTACTATTCACCTACTGCATGGAAGTTAAGTGGTTTATATTGCAGGTGGTAAAGCGCAACCGTTACTCTTCAGGATACGTCGATATACCTACTTCGTTTTGAACGAACTGAACCTACTAGTCATTCGAATGAAAAATGGCTTCGTAATGATTGCTGACTGGGACTGAATTGCGCGTTATAAGTGCTTAAAATGAAAATCTGTTTCATGTAAGATCAAACAGTTCGAAAGTGGGAAAAATGACCACCAGTGACGATGGGTTGTAATCAAATAACATCGTCAACCAGTTGAAACCCAAAACTAAGGAGAAACATCTGTTTATTACCTCCAGGACTTAATTTAATGGTGAGTTAATATGATAAATAAATACTTGGACCAAATAAACTTCTAAGACCGCACCTGGTGAATATGAAGTAATAAATTACCAGGTTTACAACCAGTCATCCGCACTATAATTCCTTACAAATTGCGCCTTGACGAGAAAATTTTGCTTGAATCTAGAATTTTCACAAGAATAAAAGAATAAGAAGGATGACATCTGTCCGCCTCATGTAATTATCGAATAATTTCAACGGATAGACAATTGCATTTGAATAGCCCAATAATCAAGAACCCCTAAACAATGTAATGCACTCCAGTTCATTGGGTTACATAATATTATGCGGGAATGAAAGGTAATAAATATGTTACTAAATCAGTAGATTATTACTACTAGCTGCAACATACATTGAACATCCTGATTTTTCAAATCTTAACACCTCGAAAGTGTCTATCTCACATGTAAGGTGTATGTGGGGGGGGGAACATTTTACTACTTATCGGTTGAATGTCATTATTTTTGTGTGACTATTCATTTAAAGTATGGAACGATTGGGCAATATCCTTAGAAACTATTTTCTAGTGAGGGCTCCATAGGATTTAGTTTTTATTTGGGATATGCGGTTGCTGTTTGCCTCCACAAACGCATTTTGGAATTCTTTTCTTTTGTGAGGAGGTAAAAATATGGAGAAAAGTCGAAAACCGAAATGGTCAGTTATCTTACAATGTTAGTTGGTACTAATGGGTGAATGACAAGAGACCCATATTTAACTGTGATAAACGTTATTCATTTGATTGTATGTTGAGGTTTTGTGACACTTACATATCCTTCGGCAAACATCTATAATATTCATTGATGAAAGGATTCTGCTTGTCTTACCACTTCACGTATATATATCTCACCCTGTTTATCACTGGGATGCATTTCGTTCTGAAAACTTTATAGTCGTGCATTCAGTTCTCAGACGACTTCATTATGGTTACTTATATTAATTCCGAAAACGTTATTATGCCTCTTGCACAGTTAGGTAATTTCCTTGATACCTTTTATCCAAAAAATGCAGAACAATTTAAAAACGCAGTAATAATAAGTCATCTGGAGAACTCAGACTCACAGCACTTAACTTTCTTTTGAATACGAAAGACTCAGAGCCGGTCTCCTAATAATTTGCAATACCCTGGTCACTCGAATCTTTTTTCAGGCTTACTCCCAACACCAATGTCATAACGTTCACTTTTGAGTTAAAACTGGAAAATATAAGTCTCTTGGTTGCACAAATAAGGGTAGAAATTCAAGTGATCTGTAATTTTTCTTGGAATTTTTAGCACATTTGTTATTTAGTCTTGTTTTGTAAGTATCAAAATAAACTGAAAAAACTTACTCTGACACAGGATTTGACTAGCTAACGTTCTGATATGTGTAAAAGATTTCAGCATGGAGATATTTTCAGCACTTATTCAAAGTTTTCGGTGATGTCTCATGCTATAAGCTCAAGAGGGGAGAAACCAATCAGATAAATTAGTGCTTAAATAATTTTTCAGGACGCAACACGCTGATTATGTTTCCTTGTCGCCTGTTGAAAGCCATTCGAAATATATCGAGATGGTCCACTGACTCCTCATGATGTAAAATGAAGAAGCCATTTCGGTTTTTACCCTCTGAACTTGTTTCAGCATATCCACTTAATATTTGAAGCATAACTTTGCTACTCAAATGATATATTCCAGATAACTTTTAATATAGATATAGTACCCAGCACATCACTTTCAAATTATATCCATGAAAAATCATTAAAAAATGTATATAATAAATCACTTTCAAAGTTCTTCAAACCCCTACTAGGTATCTATTAGACTTGGAAAGCTTTAGAAGCTGACACCTTTCTGTTTGACAAGCTTACATACAATTTAATAAGCTGGCAATAGAACATTTTTCGAAGAACACGCGTGATTACCCAATTTTTTATGTTATTTTCTAGTGAAGGTCTACTGGAAGATGCAATTAACGTTTATAGGTCTTTGTGTCGAAGCGGCTAGCCATTGTCACTTCCGATAGGTCTGCTTTGGCTGCAAACATAAGAAAAGGTGACTTAGCCTTTGTGAATACTTCATTAAAAGAAAGATTAAAGGGAATGAATCCAAAATTATGCCTTAATGTCTATAATCTTTCAATATTTTCATAAAAGTGGCTTTTTACTGACACACAATATCCGTCTTTTATCATTCAGAAGTTCTCAATAGAGTGTCGCTTTATCGTCTATTTCCAGACTATCTAACTGCCTTTTAATTCATAGATCAAAAATTACCAAGGAACCTACTAAAATCTATCACCTTATCAATAGATAAGTCTGCATCAATGGTTTCAGCTCAGTTTTCTTATGCTTTTGCAAAGTGTGACGACAAAGCTTGATCGGTTCTGAAACTGCGATTTCTTAGTCCGCAGTTTATTTCCTGTAAATGATTAAGAAACAAGTCATCGTTTAAAATCTCTAGATAGACACCTTTAGTAACCCGACTAACCAAGCGACAGTCGGTTATCAAGTGCCTGAAATTAGTTTCATATGACTGGGTGATAATAGTGTTTTTCCAATCAACTGGCAATTTCGGCTGGTTCATCTTAAAAGGCACTCACAGCGGGCCTGTAATGATTTCTATTTGTCCTATTAAGGCGTAAAAGACTGCAGCCCTTCCGAGCTGATGTAAGTGCCTTGGTCAATGTTTCGAAGTGATTGCAATGCACTATTCTTTTCAGTCTGTATAGATTTCGTTCCAAGCTACAATCGGGATGAGTTGTCAGCTGTAAACTGCAGTCTGTTGCGCAACTAGGTTACATTGCTCCTGAGGTTTCCTGTGGCAATTCTGAAAAGAGCATTTAGGGATAACAGTACAGTCCACACAGCAAAGTAAATAAAAGTAACGTTTATTATTTCTAACAGTCATCATATTTTGGAATATTCTTCTGATATAGAACTTCCAGACTTCTTCGTCAGAATCCCAGAAACGCAAACTCAGTATTTACTTGAAGTACCGAGGTCAGATTACATAACATTTTTATGTTTTGTTAAGCTAAGCTTGGGAGTGAAAGATAAATCAATCTACCACTCTTAAACATAGAATATCTCTTGTCAGAAGTTTCTATTACTGCTTCAATCATTTGAAAGTCATTTAGCTATCAAGACCTGCATATAAATGAGGACATAAAGAAGTGTTTGACTGAAAGTAAAAACTGGCAGGAAATCGTATCACAAACCCAAGTGTAAGATCACTTTAAATTATAAGCGAACTGGATATATATTCATTAATTATGGGAAAACTTTGACAAATGAAAAGTGAGTTTAAATTAAATAACAGAATTAATATGTTCAAATAAATATTAGTGAGTTTTGTCGTAGCTGTCTTTTCCTTTATATCCACCAACATAACCAGAAGCAGCTTTTTCATCCATGACGTATTCTCGTCCTTCTATCCCCTTGCCTTTACCGGTTTCCAAATCAAATCTCTCCTTATGGGCTCCAGTATAACTCTTCACATCTGTAAGACGGGACGTTGCAGCATCTTTGCTAACCGACGTAGCACCGTGAGCCTTTGGTCCGCCTGTACTGATTATTTTATCTTTAATTTCTTGAGCTGCATCAGCTGGTGACATATTTTTGTGCTTAGCATACTCTTCTGCCATAGTCCCCTCGATAAACCTCATGAAATCTTGAAAGTCGACGTCTTTCTTGGCGTTGCCAATGTGTTTTCTAAATGCAATATCAACAATGTTGGCATTAAAAGCTTTTGTGTAAAGATTGCAATCCGTACATAGCTTTTTGATCATCTTGTCAGTTCCCGTCCTTGATCCTTTTTTAACTGAATCGCAAAAGCTATAAAATATTCCTTCAATTTCACCCATCTTTCAAACTTAGTCAGGTATTCAGAGTTTAGATGATAAAATCAGTACTGATAACAGAGTATCTTGAAGTGAGCGGAAACCCTGGAAACTTTCAAAATGCCTGCATGACTAACAACCTCACTATATGGAACAACCAATAAACTTCGTAAAACAACAGGAAACCAAAAAGGTATATCCAATATCTAACATCTTTTTAACGAGCTTGTGTAAACCTATTGATCTCTTCTAGCTCCTTTCTTAGTCTTGCAGAACGACTCCAGGTCTTTGGCAGATTTCGATGCAGCAGATCTAGCCACTCGTTTACTATAGCTCTAGTATACAGAACAGGATGTTAAGTGTTGGTTAGTTCACCTTGGACTGTGGTGGGCTTGGCTTCCTCAGATGCCGAGTTGTCGGACATTTGTTCGGACTGGTCGTTATAGAGAGTTAGGGATAGTGAAGAGATAACCTAGAAAGGAAAATTTGTGAGTAAAAGGGAAAAGAAAAGTGAACCAGCTGTGCAATCTACTTACACCCAGGTTAGGCGAAAAGGGGTGCAGAGATATGAAGAACTTAGGTAGGCAAGGCTAACTCATGCCAGGCGGAAGCGACGAAAAGGGCTTAAATGGCTGCAGTAGAAAGAAAACTGGTTGTAGAGGTAAAATAGTTGGAATGGCGTGACAGTAGTGGATTTCTTCTTTTTAGTTCGTATTCCAGCTACATTTGGGATGGCCGTGGATCTCCACTCGACTGTTTAGCCCTTTCTTGGAGCTTTCAACGGATGGGGCGGAGACTACTTCTGCTGGTAATGCATACCAGTGCCCGCAGACTCGGAGGGAGGAGAAGGGTGAACGTACATGAATTTTTGACCTTTGACGGGCACTTCTCTTAGGGTTTCCGCCAGGATCACCATAATGGCCGCTCGGTAGTAATCCTCCTGTTCAGGTGAGTTGGGTTGTTCGGTCACCTCGTAAACTTCGATAGTTAAGAGAGTATAGGCTTAGGTCTTTCAGTCTATCCTCATGTGGTTTTCGTAGCATCACGACGAATCCTTTTGTGGCCCGCTTCTGAACTTTCTCCAGTAGGTTCGTGCCTCTTTTAAGTTGTGGTGGAGCAAAGACATCATAGACCTCCAAGTGTGGTCGTGTGTAAGTCTTGTAGAGCTCCAGAAAGAGCTCTAGGTGAGGGCAACTAGTTGTCTACGAACAAAGTGTAGTACACCCTATGCTCTTGGAGCGTCACTCAGGTAATTGGAACTGGTGTCCAGTTTCTCCGTCACCGTTAAACCTAGGTCTTTTCCCGCTGTGGTGTGGGATAAACGTGAACCGCAGAGGGGGCAGGATACTTTCTTGGGATCAGGGGTGCGGAAAAACATGGACCGGCACTTATCCAGGTTAAATGCCAGTTCGTTATTTGTTGCCCATTCCTCTGGTGTTTTGAGGTCGTTCTGTAATGCACTCGATTCTGCTTCGCAAGTTACTGCCCTCCATAACTTGACGGCACCAGCTCAGAGGAGAATCGGAGAGCTGATATGCAGCTGGGGGTCATTTAAAAAAAGGTAGGAACAACAATGGACCCAGGATTGCTCCTTGTGAGACACCGGACAATGATGTTCTCCAAGCTGAGTGGACCCCCTTGACTTTCGTGCAGAACTCCCTACCGTCTAAGTAGATCTGCAGCCACAGTGGCATCTGGCCGCGGATACCTAACCCGGCTACTTTGTGTATCGGGATGGTGTGCTAGACAGTGTCAAAGGCTTTGGAGAAATACAGAAAAATCGCGTGGGCCGGGACCTCGAGACCCCAGCATGCCGTTCAGTTACCATGGGCCTTTTCGGGAGACGTGTTGAGCTTCACTGAGTGCTTGCTTCGTGTCCATATATTCCCCGATGCGGTCGTCCATCACGGCTTCCATTACTTTCGATATTACAGGTAGAAGCGCTATGGGTCTATTACAGTTTGGATTCTACCTGTGTCCTTCTTTGAAGTTCGGGGAGAGGATGGACCGTCTCTAATCTCGTGGGAGCTTTTGTTCTTCCACGGAGTGTTGGGAGAGACTGCAGAGTGGGCCACTTGGGGTACTTGCACATTCTTTCAACGAAGATAGGCGAATGTCGTTTCACCCTGGGGATTTTCCCGCGCTTAGCTTTGATGGCTTGTTGAGAACAACAGAACAAGTCATCTGTACTTCGTGTAACTCTGCAGTGTCGGGTAACCTTGGAGGCTTTTCGGGCAGTAGGTATGCACACTTTCCTAACGGAATGTTGAGCTGTGTCAAACGTGGTGCTCAACATTTGGCGATCTCCTGTCCAAAAAGATTTTCTCCGTTCGGACCTTTTATGACGCATGCTCCTTGGCTTGTCGATTTTCTCTTTGCCACGAATCAGTATAGGTTTCTGGGGTTTGACTCAAGTTTCTTGGCGAGGTTGGACTGGAACGACCTCCTGTCTCCCCGCATCCTGATGTTGCTTCTATTTCGAGGGCTATACATTCGTCGTGATAGTTCTCTTCCCCGGAGCGTCTCCATTTGTGCCATCCCTTTCTCCCGGCTTTTGGGAGGCGCTCAGTGCCTCGTTTCAGCCATGAGGTCCGCTTTCTGGGTGTTGTTACCACCACGGGGACGTTTTGTTGGATCGGCGTCTCAATGATGTTTTTTACTAGTTCCAAGTGTTGGTCGACCGATAAGGACCATCAACACACTGGCCATAGAGCTCTCAATAGGCCTTAGTTCATTCCCCCACAGTTTGCCCTGTTGTAGCAGAGGTGGGGGCGAGGTCCCTCTCACGATAACTGTTCACTGATTGCCAGGCCGAAGGCTACCATAGCATGATCGCTGCTTCCGGGTGGAGTTCGGACCTCGGCGCTTTCAATCAGATGACCACTAGTCATTAGGTAATGCAACTTAGATGGTTTGCCATCCGACCCCCAGCAGGAGTTATCGCTGATTTTTTAGCGCAGTCAGGCCATTTCGATGGCATTTAGCAAGTTGCAACTGAGCTTCCGGCTCGGAGTCGTGCCATCTTACTCTAGGCTGAGGGTCGGAGCGTTGAAGTCATCGGCTGCCGGGACCTGGTCATAGCCCATATTCGACACTATGGATATCAGTTTGGTTGTGCTTTAACTAGGTACTTAGTGTGTCTGACCGTGAAGCGGCACCAGATAGAGTCTAGAAGCTCCGTCAGTACGGTGTCAGTGGTTTGTTCACCTTTGAACCAACCGTTCACGTATATTGCTACCCATTCTCTGTCCTTGTGTTCTCTGTCTCTCCTGGACAGAAAAGTGTCGTCTATGTTAACTTCGGTGTCACCAACGTCCAGTGATAGCCATTTTTCCGTCAGGACTATGATTTCCCGGACAAGGTGGGGATGGAGGGATCGGAACTCCGACGTTTTACCTCGAAGTCCTCTCACGTTGCTGCGAAGACGCTTGGAGGTGCTCCTCGTAACGTGAGATGTCCCCGGGTTAACTAACAGCACAGGTTTGTATGGGAGGACTTTCACCAACTGGCCAGCTCCAATAGAACCAGCCCAGTTACGTTTTTTCCCGGCTCGATTGGTACAGTCGGTGCCAGGTACAGGTTGCCGGTCTGACTGTCAATGTGTCGGTTCGGGTGGCCTGAGCACTGGAAGCGACTGCTTTCTGTCAGTGTCGCAGTGTTCTCGGCCTACTTTGACAGCAGTAAACGTTCCCGCTTTATAGTGCTTTTGACTTTAGGCCACCTCTCTAGCACTCTGGTAAGGACTTCTGGAGATTCCAAGCCGGCGGCCATTAGTCTAGGTGAGGTCATGGTTGTCGGGTGCCAGGGGCATGGCAGTCCACCGACTGCCACTGCTGCAACCCACTCAATTCCATCCGAGAAAATATCCGCTTCCACTGTTGGACGTAATGGGTGCACTTACAGCCTGTGGGACCTGTCACCATCTAAGATATTCCATGTGTGACCGTGGTTGTGGGTTTCAGCGGATCAGTTGCTTCTCGAGATATCTTGATTAGCATGATCGGTTAGGTCTAGCTCAGATGTTGGAATATCTGCTGACGACCAGGAACCTTTCAGTGCCTCTACTTGAGACCAGAGTCATTTTCGCTGGCGGAGGCTTCCCCGGAGGTGAATGGGAGCCTTTGTACAGTCAATACGGCTTTGCCTGCAGAGAGCCCAGACCTAGCATGACACAATGGGAGTTCCAGGCTGCCTGTCAAAAGTATCCTTGTGCTCCAGAGGGCTATCACTGCAGACAGAAACGTCCAATAGACTGACAGAGCCAGATCGGCCACTGGTGCCAACATTATCCAATCCCATGTGTACATTTTCACGGATAGTTCGAGCTTTCTTCTCTACCCTAACCCATTCGTTATGACATCCGCTGGTTGCTATCGCTGACATAGTTCCAGGGCTGGGGTGGATGTGGTTGCTGCCGATGTAGACCGCATTTCGTTCGGCGTAGAACCGCCCAAGTTTTCACCTTCGTTAGACCATTACCAAACTCCGTTGGAGAGTGAATCCCCTCAGTGATAGTCGTTTGGACGGACACCTATTTTTTGGTTGTTACCGGGGATTTATCATTTACTCTGTGTAAGCCTGAAACTAGGTACGGTCCCGGACGGCACTGTGGGCAAATATGCTCGAGGCACGCGCATGCGCGGCGCGTCATAAAGGCATGGCACTTATGTGCTACTTCTTTGTCACATCGACAGTGCACCCACCTGTTGCAGCTGTTGCACTCAAAAGCTGAATCCCTTTTGGTTACAGTGAGAGCACATCTGTGGCAGTCGTCGTCATGTCCATGAGATTTGTCCGAATGCTTTCGTCTTACTCTGTGACGTTTCCGCCCGGTGGTTTTCACTAGGGGGTCGGGGTAGGTGATAGGTGCAGCATGGGGGTCTGCGTCTACTTGGCTAGGGACAGTGGAGTTTACGGCGCTGGGAGGATTGGCGGTCCGGCTAACTTCGAGCGTTGCAAACCGTGACCTTCAGTTGAGTCTGACCCAAGTGGTGCATTCTTATTCTTTCTTCGTCACATTTTGA